CCAAGTCTGAATTCAATACATATCTCCAGCTGCATGGTAACTGGTGTCTGAGAGAGGTTGGTAAAACAATATATTTTCACGAACTAAATCCATTGTGCGTTCACGATATATCCACATACGAATAGTTAAATATGAGTACTTTGTGTTACCTACACATTATTTTTTTTTTTTCATTTTCTAACTTTACAGTATGAAATGAGAGTAGCTTCATGGACTGTGATACCACAACGGACTGTCAGAATTTTGCAGGTAACGTTATTAATGGCAATTTTGTGAGGTACTATCTCATGACTAATATATACATGGAATCGAATCGAATGTTGATACTGCTAATTGGTTAAATTAACCACAGAACGTGAATATGAGCGTCCTACTGAAATAAGTTACATACTCTCTGGGTTGGAAGGTTTTGTGGGTATATTTTTCAAAGAGGTAAAAACCTCCAGTACTTTCAAAATGAAATGAGTGGGAAGTGAGGCCAGGATATTTGCAAAATAGGAATGCAACTTTAAATATTCGTCTGCTAATAAACACAACGTGTAAGGGGTTGTGAATTTGATAAACGTATATATTTAAACAATATATTGTATTTTAGCAGACAAAATTACACAATATGTAAGACTAATTTTTCTGACTGTTGGTGTCTGCAATGCAAATTGCGTCCCAAGCACCATTTTATAGAATTAATAGACACGATGCATTCGTTGTATAGCGTGTCTGTAGGGACAATTACACATACATGTACTATTTATGTTCCCACCTCGGTGTTTTCACTATAATAATATTACTAGTATAATCCCACTTAACGATAACTTACCCATTCATGGCATATTTTCACAATGCGCAATTCTTCAATTTATAGTTGGCAGTATCAGCCAATAGCAGCAATGAACGCAAGGTGCTTACTGTAGAGAATACCATCGCACAACTCAAGAATACTACTCCCGTTGTCAGGTATTGTTTTAAGGATCTTCTTAATTCTATAACATTGAGAACACAATATTAATTAATCCAAAGAGAAAGTAGGCGAACTATTCTTGAAATATTTGCAGTGTGTCAGTTGAAAATTAGGAACTATTAATTACCTTATATTTCTGTACAACAGATACATTTTAAAAAGACTAATTCCAAAAGCACGAAAAGCTATGAAAAACTGGAAGGAAACTAGGGTAAGAATATCCGACATTCAGCATGATCAAATGCACAAAGCTCGATCTTTTATATATAGCAATGGCCCACATTGACATACGGCTGGTGTAACATGTTGACATTGATTTGATCATGGCAATTATTTCCATTAATAGTAGTGTGAATACAGTTATTTTTTGTCTTGTAGTCATTGGGACTGAAGGCATACCACATGATAAAACAAGCTTATTGGCAACTTGCCGAGTGTATGGTGAAGGAGGTAAGAGGCTTTACTTTCACAACATAAATTATCGATCAACTATTTTCATTTCCTTTATTCCCATATTATAACAATTATTCAAATTATATATACATATATAAACTGTGCATATTATGATGAACTGTCTTGCTCGGTGAAACATTTTTTTTATCATCTATTTATCTCAGGGGTATTTACCAGAGAGAGACTTGATATTTTTCCTGACACACCAGGAAATAGGCTGTGTATTGCACAGAACGAACCCTAAGCTTGTTACAAGGTAAGTGTATCATTAACATTACGTTGATACAAACCTGATGCTAAATGAACCTAATTTAATGAGATCATTTTCCAAATGTTTTGACCAACAGAGCAGCACGTCGTAGAAAAGTATACCCTAACTTGTTTGAATTGCGTTTTGATGATATAAGCATTGGGAAACCAGTAAGTATCAGTAGTCAAGTCAACTCTAGCAACAATTGTGATAACAAAGACATCTTTTCTTACAATTTGTCTTTCTTCAATTTGACAGAAACCTTTGAAAGACCCTGGTCCTGTACCACTCTCTTTAGAAATGAAAGGTAATGTATATATATTGAAAAAAACTATAGCAGTGGTGTTTCAATTTAATGTATATATATATACACAAGATATCTATATGGTATAGACGATACGCTACTCCCTGTTGATTTTAACTTAGAACCAGGACTTGCATGCACTGACCTCAAAAATTCAGCATCTCATTAATGGTTGTGCCCACGTAACCATCAATACAACAAGGTGTTTTATTATTAGACCAAAACAATTTGCACATAATTAGCGACTTCAGCATAGCTATTTTGTATTGTGTCAATATAATCAAACCATTATGTTCATATGGGTATCAAATACTATCACTTATCAAATATTCAATTATTAAAATCAGAATGGAAACAAAAACACCCACAACTACCGGACACCTTATTCATATATGCCTTGACATAATACAATACAAGCTTTACTTTCATCCAATCACGTGCAGCGTATATTGCAAAAGGCCTATCAGATTTCAAAACATTCTCTACAGGTCATTCAAATTAAACCTTGGTCAGTATGACAGTGGCTATTCGATATACATAATAAACAAAGACGCCAAAAATCAATGGGCCATTCCAGTTTATATCTGCACCCCCTGTTGATGAGCTTGAGTGTTTACATCATACAGGGTATAATTTCCATGGGTGTATAAGTCATACAAAGCTTTATTTCCAAATCACCATTCACCATACAGTAATGGAAATCCAAAACTATAGTTCCTACTTATGGTGTTGATGAGTTCCTTTGTGCCACCATACAGAGTAGGATTTCCAAATATAACTCATCATATTTCATCATATAATTTACCAAGTTCTAAATTTTATATTTGATAATGGAAATTCAAACTAGTCCTGATTCACGGTGTTGATGAGCTCATTCGTGCCACCATACTTATCTAATTTCAGTAATAACTATTTCATACTGGCCCAATTTTTTTACCATATACAGTCAGAATTCCAAGTTTTTTTAGTCATACTGATGGAAATCCAACCTCATCATCCGGTATGTGGCAAGATAAACTAGGCCATATTTTATTTAGTAGCCATAACTGCCTGGATTTCCAGGAATTTTTTTTCCATACTCGTCTGGAATTCCAGATTCTGTTTCTCCATATGCAGTTAGAATTCCGGTGTATTTTCCCCATCATACAGTGCTGGAAATCCGACCACATCAACAGGGGGGTGCAGATATAAACTGGAATGGCCCAATTCCAAAATTATTTAATAAATTAGAAGTTTAACAATAAAATCACATAAGTAATCGCTCTTACAAAAATCTCTGTAATACTGTTATTATTGTGCATCCTGTACGACGTGAAACCATTTTGACCATATAACGGTGAACAGAGATCAGAAATCAATTCATATTTCAAGCCAGGAACAATGAAACCACGATTGTTTGCACACAATGGCATGGATCAGTACCCAAAACCACATAGTGGCTGTCCCACTAAAAATACCAAAGTGTGAGCCACACAGTAAAAAGCTTTTGGAAACAGGTCATATGACTCTTTTGTTGCGTCATAATTCATCATAAACTGACAATTGAATTCATTTTAATACATACCAAACAGGCCAATCAGTAACCATGACTTTCGTAATAGCATCCTTAGTGTCGAGAAATGAAGAGGAAATAAAGAAACAGAATCTTAAGTATAGAGGGCCTCAATTACAATACAAAACTATATTTATAGAAAATGATTTGAAATATAAATATATATATATTACAATTCAAATAGAAATTGACTTCCCATACAAAACATGCAAGTTGAAAGTCACTGTCTTCACAAACGCATTGTCATTTATAAATATAGGTTTACCAATGTGTAAAAGGAAGGTATCTGGACGTGCAAGGGTGGCGAGAACGCTTGAAGAAGCTGATTCTATTAAGGTTAGTTTTAGGTAACGATTATAATATAGTAAAATTCTTCAAGATGATGAATATTATTATTCAAGGTTCAAAAAACCTGTTAATAACTTTAGAAATGTGTTTTGAACTTGTCCATTATGAGCATCAGTTGGTCATATTAACCATACATTTTAAAATTAAGTAAAACTCAGTTATTTTATTATAATTGTGATATAAATACAAAATTTCCAGACAACTTACATTGTACTTTTTACGTGTGTATGTAGGTGGGAGATGTCTTAGTTGTCCGAAGCCCGGATATTGCTTGGGTTCCATATTACGCAATCATTTCCGGTTTAGTAACAGAAATTGGAGGATTACTCTCACATGGTAAAGTAACTACATTATATTTTGAAATATCTACTTTGACAGCAGAATAATTATAATATTGCAGTACAAATAACGATAAAAAATATAGAGTTCATGATAAATTCACTATTTAATATTAGTGGGTATGAGGTATAATGATTTGGTAAACGCTGTTTCATTATCCCATAATCTAAATTCATAACTGTTTAGAAAATGACGGTATTGTTATTATTCCAGGTGCGATGATTGCCCAGGAATATGATATACCATGTGTTGTGAATGTAAAGGAAGCAACAACTAAGTTTGAATCAGGTAATTTATATCATGGATTCACAGTATGTGTAATGCAATACAACTATGTAGTAATCATACAGCAATGCTGTGTGCAATGTTGAATGTCATTCACTTTGTCCTACCATAATTGCAGTGATAATATAATAAATAATATAATGACTTATTTGTAACTTGTGTGGGATAAATCAAAGTTGATGTAAATAGCAGAGTAATGAACACTAGCTAAAGTATGATTGTTACATGCATTATGTGTCTTTAATTATCAAACATGAAGTGTAACTGACTGATACACATAATATACTCATATTAGTTATATTATTATATTATTATATCTAAATTTATATAATGTTAATGCAAACTATTATGATGTTTTATTTTTTTTTTTCCAGGAGACTATATCATGATTGATGGGCACACAGGAATTGTTCGAAAACTACAAACTGACTTTTGAAAAAAAAAAACAAAAAAAAAAACAAGAAGATTACAACACCCCAGCTCAGATATTTATTAAACGTAGTATTGTCCACATATCGTTGAGCAAGAGAGCCAAGCAACCTGTTTTTAATAGGTAGATTTAAATTTGAGCAATGTCTAAGGTGATAGCCAAATATTAGTGACATTACTGTCAAATGTATGAATAACAGTAGTTCAATATATACTGTAATAATCATTGCTTTGGTAGTAAGGTTTATTTATATTTTTGAAACAATTTTCAAGTTTAATTGTCCTGGAACTCAATCAGGAGAGTAACACCAAGTCAAAATCAAAAAGTTTCACCATTGTTTACAGAAAATTTCTGAACTGATCTGAATAGCTGAAGTCATTGGTATTATTTCACACATAATGGATGCTTTGGCCCACAGTTAGCGGATTAGGAAATTATACCTGGTAAACGATAGTCAACTTCATACAGCATATAAGGCTGTGTTTGATGATTTATTTACAGAAGTAAAAAGCTCCAAACGCATTCAACTATGATTTTCAATTACGATACCATATATGCATACAATGTCAACAAATAGCAATCTGGAATAAAAGTGAATCTCCTTTATTTTTTTCTTTTATGTGTTATGAACATAAAACTAAATATAAGTTGTTGAAGCACAAAACATTTAAACACTTGTTAGAGACAAACTAGTTATTGTGAATGTTATATTTATGAAATTAATTAAACTTGATTGTTACAATAATTTCAGTTATGAGTTCTTTATTTCTGCCTCAGTTGAAAATCAAAAGTTTCCTTAATATAATTAAATTGGTTTGAGAAACCCACAAGTCTCCCACAATAAAGATCCTGACTGCAACACTGCATCTTAGAAAACACTGCAAAAGTGTGATTTATCTAACGTAATCAAATTATATAGGCCAAAAAAATTAACAACACTGATTAGGTAAAATTAACGAAAATGTTATGAATCATGTGTCTTAAACTACCAATATAAAGTAAATATGCTAAAAAAATATTGTTGCTCTAATGATGTACAATAGTTTTACAAGAAACACTGGATTAACACTGGAAGATTATTCTATTAGGGTTATCATAATAATCAATATCAATAATAAAACGCCCGTCACCAACCTCGTTTTTAAGAAAATTGTTACAAAGTTTCAATAAGAAATAATTAATATCATCTAATTCTAATTCAATTCTAATAAAAAACATTGACATTTTTTCAAAACTTGAGGTAGAAAGGGGGTTCGTAGAGATCGCCTAACTCTTTTTGAGTGGTATTCACACCTAAATACTATGTGCTACACTAATACATGTGCGATAGAACATTTCTCGTGTAAAATTGATCTGGGTCAACTTGGATAGTTTGCATCGAAAACAAAATTACAATCACAGTATATATGAAGTATAGTCATATTATTTTGCTTTGTATCCCAAATGTGAGACAGTATTGAACATCCTTTAACAATGAGATTGTAACCATTTTTTTTAGGATATCACAAATCCAGCAGTTTCATTATCACCATTCAAATTCCAATC